GATGGAGGGTGTTGCAGGGTATAAAACAGGATCTTTTATTCATCCTGTATACATGACAAGTAGAAAGCAGGGAAATTTCCATTTGGCCAAGGTAGTGATACGTGCTGTGGACATTGAAAAGGGAAACAGTTGGAAATTAAACACTGGGGTTTAAAAGTTGTTTTGCTTGAATTGATTCTTTAGTTTTGTTGATGTGATAAAGTATTTTATCATTGATATTTCTGCCAGTCTAAGGCATGACATTACATCTGAAGTGTTTATTAGTTAATCTCTATTGCAGAATTAAGTAATATATTAATCAAGGTGGCTTTTGCTTTCTCAAATCTTCTATAGCCATTAATGGTTATATGTATGGAAATCAGCCTGGTCTTGAGATGTGTAAAGGAAGTGTTGTTTCCTGGCATTTGATGGGCTTGGGTTCAGAAGTTGATGTCCATGGGATATACTTCTCAGAAAACACATTTGTAACTAAAGGAACAAGAAGGGATACAGCAAATCTGTTTCCACATACAGTTCTTACAGCTATTATGAAGCCTGATTCTGAAGGTAAGTGTCTTATTTAAAAATTCTGTTACTAATGCAGAAACTGTTACCTATGAATGCTTTGTGCATAGAGACAAGCTTTAAGTAGGTGGTATATTGATCCTGGTGCTAAAACTATGCACAGTTGTGTTTGAAGGGCAGCCAACTGTAAGGACATATGCTCTTAATGCTAAATCCTTAATTTTCCTAGCTCCTCTGTAGGCTGAATTTTATTACTACAAGTAGCCATGCTGCACAAAGATTTTGGACATTGCTTATATGAGATAATTATATTAAGATATTGCTTATATGAGCAATAATTTGTGTCTCAGTCTCCTCAAGTCTTTGTTTCTTATATGACCCCTAGGAGTTTTTGAGGTGTCCTGCCTGACAGCAGACCACTACACTGGGGGCATGAAACAGAACTACAAAGTGAAAAAATGCCACCAGTGGAATGTAGATTTATCTACGTATTTGCATGAAAAGATTTACTACATTGCTGCAGTGGAAGTTGAATGGGACTATTCTCCTAACAGGACATGGGAATTCGAGCGGCATCAATACCATGAGGAAAGGTACTTCAGAATGTACACAGGGGAGAAAAATGCAAAAAAAAAAGCGAAGGAGCAACTCATTTCTCTTCTGAAACTTTTCCTCTTCCAGACGTTTCTAGACACACTTTCTTTTCATAAACATATTTTGGGTTCACTCGAATTTCTTCTTACCCAGCAGTGCTGCCATGTAACTGAGCCAGACAGCCTAATGCTTGAGAAATCACACAGATCTTCTGTGGGACAAGTGTAGATTTTAATGGATCCTGGATAATGCATGTGCATTTGTTATTTACTGATGTTGGTAGTCCTTGATGTGGAAAGCTTAAAATGTTCGTTGTCATATGTCCTGATAAACAAGGTCTTTGTCTCATGTTTATTTGTAATCTGAGTAAGGTTCTTTGACCCCTCTCAATTTCATGAGCTTATACAAGATACATTCATGAATGAACTCACTGATCATTAAGCTCGTTGTCTTGGTATTTTATTTCCAGTATTTGAATCTCAGTGAGAGAGAACTGATTGGATAAACAAATTCATGCCAGTTAGAAGAAAAGGCTAAACAAGAATGACGAATTTCTGTGTTCTACCTGAATAACTTGAGTAGCAGATTATAACTGTATTTTGTTATTAACTGAATTGTATTTTCTTCTTTTTCCTCAGTTTGATAGTACATATTTTGCCCTGTGGACTCTGACATAATTCTAAGCACAAGTAATATGGACTATGCTGTTAACAGACTTTTCCCCTCCATATTGTGTCCACTCCCCATGCAGTTCAGCTTTACAAGTTTTAGGCTTCATTTTAGGTGTACACTGAAGTTGCTAAAGGCTCTGTTTTTCAGTGTGCAAGTTGCTGTGTGTCTTCATGCAGTTTGCAGCATTTGCCAGGCCAAGCACTCAGCATTTTTTCAAGTACCATAGACTTGATCTATTTATAGTTGGGTTTTTAACCTTCTAAAGGGGAACCTCCCAGCTTAACAAGAATGTGTTCATGTTGAAGATACTTGCAGTTTATGAGATTACTCTTTCAGTTTCTGAGATTACTACTTCTTTTGAGCCAGATTCTTGCTTGATAGTTAATTGACATACCTGCAAAAGATGTTGTAAAATACATGAAGGAATGCACTTCTTTCTTCTTTTGGCAGCCCAGGCAATCCATTTTTAAATAAAGATGACAAATTCATTGGCTCAAAGTACAAAAAGGTAGTATATCGTGAGTACACCGATCAGACATTCAGTACTCCCAAAAACAGAGCAAAGGAGCAGCAGCACCTGGAAATTCAAGGTAAAGTCATCATGTTCAGTTTTGAAAATGCAAAAAATGCAGTCACACAAATCAAAAGATACTATTTGAATAATATTGAGTGCAGTTCTACCCACAAAAAATTGCCTCGATCTAAATGGAAAACCTACTTGGAAGTGCTACTTTTACTGCAGTGCTTTCCCTGCAAGATAACATTGCTTGCTCTACAAGGAAAAAAACCCTTTTGGTTTGCTGCTTGGTCAGAGATTCTAAGTCAGCATAAAACTGGGCAGCAACATCCAAACTGACTTCAGGTACACAGTAAGTGCTCAGAACTTGAGATGTAGAGGTCTAAATTTAGCATCTCAAGTTGGCATGTCATAGTGAACATTTTCTTTATACAGTTTTCATCTGACTTATAAGCCAATGTTGTGAATTGGAACACGACAAGCTGGCTCTCTGTCTGTTCTGATGTTTTGTAAAACCAAGTTAATCTTTCTTTTCAATCCAACAGGGCCGCTGCTTGTGTCAAACACTGGAGATAAAATTGTAATAGTTTTTAAAAACTTAGCATCAAGACCTTATTCTATCCATGCCCATGGAGTGAAAACAGACAGTTCTGTTGTTGCTGTGACTAACCCAGGTATCAAACCACCCTTTTTTATTTCCAGCAGTATCAATACTTCTGGTAAGATTTAGCAAGCTTCCAGAAGCAGGAAAAACATCATTTTTGTTTGTCTTGCCTCAAGTTCTTAAATTTTTGACGCCGATTATGACTAATACTTCCACAGTTCAAATGCCCCTCATAATTATTTGTGTGTCCTAGTCCTTGACTGATCAGTAATTTTTTGATACAATGTGGCTGCACCTTTCATGAAAGCAAACAGGTTTGGCTCCACAGGCAAAGCATAGCTTATGCTATTACTTCTCAATTTCCTCTGTGATCTTTACAAAATATTCAACCGACTGTTAAGTATGGTGATCTGGACAGTGCAGACACACTCACACACACAAAACCATTGTCAGGAAGAATCATGGATCTGCAGAAGGGGCCACCAGCTAGTCAGTGCAGTAAATGGGAACTTCAAGACAAATATAATAAGCTGTAAATGGAAATAACATCTGCTTCATGATGACCACCTGGGTCAGCACATTGAAAACTTCAAAAATTAATTGATACTTATTTAATTCAGGTGATACAACAATGTATGTCTGGAAAATCCCAGAGAGATCTAGTCCTGAGAGAGGAGATTCACATTGTATTGCATGGGCATACCATTCAACAGTGGACATTGTTAAGGTATATTATTGATATCAGTTTTGTTTATGTCTCCAACATAGATATAGTCAACGTAGATGAGTTTGAAAATTTTTCTGCTTTCTCTGCTAAGGTATTTCCCCTATTACCATACCTTTGAATTTATATGCTTCTCGAAGGCAAGTTGCAAGAACGTCAGGGCAGAAATTCAATGCTACAGACATTCATGGTTTTGCTTCCTGGTTGTTCTGCTGTTAGTACAGGTCATCTCACATTCCCTTCTCAAAGCTAACACTTTATAGCTTGCTCAATATCTAATCAGTCATTTGGGGGAAAACTGAAATGCAACTATGAAACACAACTCTTCTATTTTTTTACCAAACATGAATCAGCTTAATATAGTATTTTTAATGGAAATTAATGTATTCTTGCCATTGTCTCAATAAATACAAACAGTGTCAAGAAGTATATTTTGAATGGAAATCAAGCTCAAAATTATAAAAATAGTTTGAAAAAAGAGCAGTAAATTAATATGGAAGAAATATTTATAACAAGAGATGAAAATGAGGTAGTCTTCATTGAACTTGATTTCTGCGTAGCATGTAACAGTGGAGAAATAACTTTGTTTGACACTGGCTTCCCTTCTTCCCAGATACTGATAGCTGTGAAGATAATAAAAGGATTCCTGCATGTCATGGAAAGTATTTCTGTTTAGTTATATCTTGCAAGTATGTGGTTTTTCATTTGTCATTTCAGGACACTTATAGTGGATTAATAGGCACACTCATCGTGTGTCACAGACATTACTGGCCATCATTTCATACTAAAAAGAAAGTTCAGTTTGCTCTTCTCTTTATGGTTTTTGATGAAAATGAGTCATGGTACTTGGATGAAAACATTAAAATGTATTCTACCAACCCACACCTTGTTGACAAAGAGGATGAGGGATTCCTTGAAAGTAATAAAATGCATGGTATGTTTCCCAATTTAGTTCATATAGCTCTGCATATTCTACAAAATTATGTATTTGAAAGTGGTGCATATAAATTCAACTTTCTCAGCCCCTCGAATTTCCAGTTCCAGGACAGAAGGCCTGAAAAACTTTACTCAAACTGTTTGAAAACACTGCTGATGCCAGTGAATGACTTTTTTTTCACAAGTTAAAAAAACCCTTAACAACAACAAAATCCCCTGGTATATTATTATGTTGAAGTTTTAGTAGAGAAAGAATAAAAATGAAATTTTAAGTTCTGATTTGGTGTCAGTAAACAACTGCTCTGGATATGTTGGAAAGTCTATGTGAATCCTGAAAGCATGTCTTCATAAAGCTTACTCTTTTACAAAGATTGACAGGAACTGCAGATCTTTAAAAAAAACCCTGCAATTCCCACAGCTCTTTAAAAACTGCAACATTAGCAACGATGTACAGCAAAGACATTTTCTTTATTATGTCTTTCTTTCTAGTTTAATGTGGAACATAAACACAACCATTCATCATGTACCATCCAAAACCAACCATTACTTTTGTTTGGCATTGGCTTTTAAATCTTTCAATCTGTATTATATTAGAGATAACAATACACGATACACAAAATCTTATTTGTTTTTTCTGTCTTACTTTCCTTCTTTTTAGCCATTAATGGAAAGGTGTTTGGAAATTTGCATGGCCTGACCATGCACGTTGGAGATAATGTCAGCTGGTATCTGATGGGAATGGGCAATGAGATAGACATTCACACAGTACACTTCCATGGCCACAGCTTTGACTACAAGGTATCAGGTCTTTTTCTTGCTGTGTTAAGAATGAGAGGTAAGTCAAATATCAGGGACTGTTATCTGTGGTGAAAAGTCATCTTGCAATATTAAGCAGGGCTTGTACTTTGACCATAAGGGTTTTATGCCTCAAACCTGTATTTGATCAACATACAAGAGCCAGAGAATATCTGCCAGTAGCATTCGCTCACTGGTAACCTCAGACATTATTTCAACAAGATAGTTGTGAATTTTTCATGGCTGTGGTAAGACAAAACCTATAGTTTTCCTCCATTTCCACTTAGTTGCTAGTTTATTAAACGTTGGAGCATGAAGTGGATGTACAAAGTGATGTTTCAGTAGAAATGATACACAGAACGTGTGTTTAACACAGTTTAACTGTTGCTTTTTTTTGTCTTGAAGCAAACAGGGGTTTACCGGGCAGATGTCTTTGATCTGTTCCCTGGGACATCTCAAACTGTGGAAATGACCCCACAGAACCCTGGAACCTGGCTGTTACACTGTCATGTTACTGACCACATCCACGCAGGCATGGAAGCGACCTACACTGTACTCCCAAAGGAAGGTAAGAGGCACCTAGCTTAGTAATGTTTGTTATGTTTTAAGATGCACAATGGGGCTCACAGACAGGCCAGCATACTTAGAACTACTTCAGGCACCCAGCAATATTCCATGTCTAGGAGCCAAGATGTTGCAGGCAACCTGGTCATACTTCCTTCAGTGCTGCTCAGGAAAATGAAGTAGTTAAAGGAGTGGATGATGATAACTGACTATTACTTCAACTTACCATCCATGAAATCTACATGACAGATTTTTTTTATTTAAAAAGAATTCTTCATGAGACAGAGTATTTCTGTACCCAGTAGTGACAGACTTCATCTCAATCTTTGTTAAAACAAGCAGCACTGATAAATACAGCTGAATTCATCATCCCCATACAGCTGAAGTACTGAAAAACTAAAATAGTGTTTACTTTCTCAAGGGCATGTTGTAGCTTTACGGACACTATCACCTTGCTCTGGCAATATCACCAGTGAAAAAACTTGAATTTTGAAGAAAAGTTATTGTTTCTAAAAAGTTAATTCAATTTTAAAACCAACATTTTTCAGTACTCAAAAGACAGAGCATAACAGGTATTGAGAGAAAGAGAACAGTAGAAATAATTCAAAATATGTGATGTATGTATATATATACAACCATGTGATTTACATTTTAGCTATACTAAAAAAATACAGAATGCAATGTTAAACAGAAAATCTAATTCTATTTGATAAACAACTGGAATATGAAACAGAACCTAATTCAATTTTATAAACACTAAAACTGATTTACAGAGTATGTTATTCCAGATGTCCAGACAATAACAAGGCTAATTTAAGGGTATACAGAAAGACATGTAAAAACAGACTTTCATCAGATTTTTTTATTATTAACCATCTAGACTGCATTAAAATGTAACCTTCATTGCATCTTAAAGTTGTTTTTAAATCTAACTCACAATGTCCAGAAAGTACTTGGATCCTCTGTGCTCATTTTGGACTCTGCTGGCCGCATGCACAGACTATTCTTCTGATGAAATGTACAATAAAGCTATTTTTCTCCTTCTAGACAAGTAGTCTCTGTTCCCAAGATTATTCCATCAGTTCAAGCGTAAAGGCATGCCAGGCACTCAAGAATGATGAAAGCATTTTACCACAGTGATACTCCAAGGTCTACCTTAATTTCTTGGAAAATATTCTTCTGGACCACTCATCTCTACACAGTTTGGAAGATTTCGCATAATGGCCGTGGCTAAGAAAAGAACCACAGACTAAAACAGCTGAATGGATGTAACAGCTTATAAATATATGTTTCTGTAAATGAAAACAGTATCTTGCAAGCGAAACATATTCTAGGTGATGGCTAATGCATGTTATTTAGCAGATGAGGAACATGGAAGAGCTAATAAAATGTTCTTTTTTTTTAAAGTTTGCAAATAACCCTGAGTAAAAGCAAAATTTGGGATATCAGTCATCATACTGTCACATTTTATTAGTATGTTTGTAGTAAATGTTTAGAAAACAGGAATTTGGTTATCACGTTATCCATAGGTTCACTCTGAAAAGATATATAGTATTGTATAATTGAGCAGTTAACAAAATAGTTATATTACTTCTATTAAATAACTTTATAATTTTATTCAGTAGTAACTCTCAAGAATGTGCATTTAAAAGACTTGGTTTTCTGTTCTGAAAATAATTCCAAGCCAAAATTAGGCTGAAATAAGCCTGATGAAATGCAGACAGTGAAGGCCAAAATTTAATAACTATGGTACTGAAAAGCTTTGCTCTGACGAACCCTGCAGTGGAATCATTTTGCTGTTGCAGTTCTTGGCAAGGGAAAAAGAAAGTGTTTCCTGACAGGTGGAAGCAGCAGTGTTAGAGCATGGCTGATGCTACTCAAAAATAAAAACAGTAAGAGAGATATGGTTGCATTTCAATAACCCAACTCCTCATGTTAGATTTGTGCCAAATGAGAAGGAAAGATGTATGGGACAGGAAAGGAAAGCAAGATATCTAGGCTTTATGCCTGCAAGAATGAAATTGCTTCTCCTTAACAAGCCTAAATTGCTTAGGTCTTTTTTAATGGTTACATTAAAACCAGCATAATACCTATCAGCAAATTAGATAATTCATTTTACCTGTAGCAGGAATGCTATGTGAGTAAGTTATACTACTTTTGATTTATCTTTTTTTTTTGTTAATGTATTTTAGCTGAAATATAGATGGTCTCTCCTGACTGACTTCTACAGGTTTAAATAACATTGCAACTTCAGTGAAAACATTTTTATAGAGTCACTGTCAGCTAATTAGCCTTTAGATGGTTTAGATGGTTATGGTATCATGGGAGTCATTGTATTTTTGGTAATTGTCAAAAACTCCAAACTACATTCATAACGACATTACAAACATTGCGACAGCTTACTGAATTCCAGCTCTAAAGGAGCAGAAAGATGCTTTCTGCTCACAAGACAGACAAACATCAGTACACACATGCATAAGCACCTGAGATGCTTACCAAAAACCCTAGAAGAAATTCAAGGAAATCTCTGTGTTGCAATATCAAGTCAGTTGGGCTCAATTCCACTTGGAAGAGTAAGGTACTCACTTTTACTCATACAGTTGACACATGCCTGAGCCTGAATTCCTCCCTAGGTCCATGATCCAACTAGCAAAGATTTAAGACTGACTTTCTACTTTACTTTCAGTGAACACTGTATGTTCAGTTGTACTGTAGAATCTGTATTTCCTAGCTGCTTTGGCACCAGAATTAGCTTCAAAACAGATGCTTTGCCTCAGGAAACAGCTGTCCTTCAGCAGTTGACATAAGATGTATGTGAAGGGAGGCCCGCAGTACCTTATAAGGAGTTCTACTGGTTGTTTCATTTACTTTTTTATTACACCACACTGTAGTTGAGTGGACAGCAGGTCCACAGGTCATTGTTTTAGGTCAGCAGCTTCCTCTGGCTGCAGTGAAGAAGATGTGGCAGAAAAAATGCTGCTGTTCCATCTTCTGGTAGAAGACTGAGGAAATCCCTTAGCTCCAGTTCCATTGCAACAATTGATAAAGTTTCTGCTCAGAGCAGGGGAGAAAATATTGTTTAGGTATTTTGAGTTTAGAACAAAGAAAAAAACCCCAAAGCATTAACAATGTAATTATTAATTAAAGTAATCAAATTATTTAAATATTGCAACTGGAATGGCATTTGAGACATAGCCATTTGTGCGCAAACACAACTATGGGACATCTAAAAAGGAAACTGAAATTATGACTTCAATCAAAAACAAGCCTCTATCTAACAAGACACATCGGGTCTACACATGGCACTAACACTAATGAAGTCTGATCTAGTATTTCACATGTTTTGCAGGAAATGCAAAGCAAGCCCTAGAAGTCTTATTAGTACCCTCACTCAACACTATCTGTAAAACTGGATGCTCTAAAAGAAGTTTCTCAGACCAAGCTGTGTAATGTTATGTTCTTATGCAATTACAACACAGTTACTGCATGAAAATAAATCCAAAGAAAAACTGCTGGCACCAGAAACTTAGGACTTCACAAGAACTGTGCTGCACAATGCAACGCCACAATGCTGTTTTTTTCAGGCATTCCAATAGCATACTTCGAACAGTATATGTGCTTTACTTAATATTCCTGATTTGTCAAAACAATCACACTGGCCCCTCAGCTATACACAATATTATTAATTTCTTACAAACATGTAATGATAGGACTACAGAACTCCTAGGGTGAATTTCTCTACTTTTAGTACTTACCTACTGTTTTTTTTAGTCTATGAACTAACCATCAATACACACTTAAGCCTCCCCTGTGTTATCACTAACAGCCTATTACCTAGGAACCATATAGTCATTTAGCCTAGAAAAAACCAATCAGAATTAGTTCTGTTTAGGAGGTTTTTTTAATGGTGTCTATTCCTTACCTATACAGAAAGAGTATGATTACAACAATTTACCTGTTTTCAATACAAAATTAATGCCTTGATTTTTATGAGGCTACACTGTCTACATTGCAGAACTCTGTGCTAATGACCAAAAAGGCTGCTAAACTGCATTAGCTTTAACTGAAGAAAAAGACCCGTTTTTTTTCAAATTATCATCTCAGTAGTCCTTAGCCTGAACAGTTATTAAGAATGTTAGCTGATTAACAAAGCCTTCTGGAGTTGAGTCACAACCAATTGATTTACCTTTGAGTGATGAAATAAGAACGGGGCAGTCATTTCCAGTAAGTCTAGTTCTCTTGCAAAGTTCAGGAAGCAGTTTGTTCCACCACAGAGCCTAATCCACAAAATCCAATAGCAAATGTATAAATGCACAAAGACTGAAATTAAGAGTATGAAAGACCTGCTAAAAATAACCTGAACTAAGCTCAGATGTGTACAAATCCAGGTCAGTTATTATGAACTCAATAATTCGTTTATATAATGCTTTGAAATGCAGTGATTTTGCATATGTTGTGTTTTTCAATCTTCAGTGCAACTTTTTTCTGCTCTTTATACAGTGTCCCTCATATCTCTATAGAAAAAAGTTTAGAGGACAAAAACAGTCACCTAATTAGCAATACCAATTCAGTCAGAGAATTTTTTCTCTGAAAACAGCCTGACGGAAAGTGATGAATAGCATTGCTCTGTCTCCCGACCTGATCTGTCTCATTCCAACAGCTGTAGTAGTAAATTAGGTTTTGTGCACAATTTTGTAGGTAAGAATGGAGAGAAGGAAAGGGATTTCTTTCCTCCTTTAAAACTGGTAACTATTTTCTTTCACTTGTGTTCAGATGCAGTACTGCAACCTCACATTCTATTCTAATGTGGGAACAATCACAGAAACAATTTCCAGATCTGAATAAAAAGCTCAAATTTGGTTCTGAATAGAGTTCTAGTACATCTGTCTGATAGAGATCACACTTCCTGACTCTGGTCAGCAGAGCTCCATGCAATTAATTGAGTTGCTGTGCTGGGAAATGGAAATTACTTCTATTGACTACTTCCCGTAGTCCTGGAACACTAGAATAAATTCTGCTCCAACGCTAAAACTGTACAGAGGTGTAATGGGAAAATGGGACACAAAGATACAATCTTTCCACTAGTGTACTGGTACCATTCTGATTGCTAGAAGATCAGAAGATGTCACTAGAACACAGGAAGAACATATTTAGTGCAATTTTATTCAAGGGACCATGTTCTCTTGTCAAGTTAGCTTATTACTAAGATTTCACTTTATAAACATTGACAAACAATTCAGAACATAGTCAGTCAGTGAGAAACTAGAAGCTTTTTATTTACAGCAGAAAAAGAACATATTCTTTTTTCTGAGGCACTGTACCATCTAAAAAGACTATGCTTTAAGTTTACCTCAGTGAATAGAGTACGTGGCAAAAGAAACTGGAGGAAAAAAATATTCCATTACAATTACTGAGGACTGAGTTAAGGAATTAAAACGCCAAGGAAGAGGTGGAACGCAAGCTAAGCAATTTACTTTGCCTGAAAGCTCGGCTATGTGATCCATCCAGAGTCCATCTGTACATACAGCATCTCAGTTTGGGAAAAACCCCAAATGATAGTGAATAACTGTATCGAAAGTAGCCCACCTGACTGTCACCTTTCAGCTCATGCTGAGCGTAGAACACAGCTGCATCAGGACACCTTCTGAGCAGCTGGTCAATGGCTTCCTCGTGGTTGCCCAGACGGGTATTGCAGAGAACACGGACAGTGAGGCCAACACTGTCCGCCTCTGTCAGGGGCTCCAAAACAGGCAGCACTGAAGCTATACTGATTGACTGACTGCATAAAAGAGACTGAAGACAAGAAGTATTGTTTGGATTTAAGACAAACATTGCAAAAAATGCTAACCATAACCTTAGAAGAAAAGCCCTTACTTGTTCGAATAATCCTGAAATAATACTTCCTTTAATCAATATTGCTGAAAATTGGGAAAGCAAGTTTAGAGTAGATGCAAATGTAAATACTGTTATCAACAGAACTCTTCAGTATTTTTTTCTTGCATCATTTCAGTCAACCTTTTATTTTGACTTGGAGAGCTTAGGGGGGAAGAAGGAGAGTCTGCTGGAGAAAGTCAGTCACAGAATCATGAATATTTGCAGAATGGATCTAAGATGTAAAGCAGTAAGATGTAATACTTGTCTCATACCTGTAGTCTTGAGATGTCTTCATGGTAATCTTTGTCAGATGAACATCCCACTGACATTATGGAAGCTATCCATGGAACAATCAACCCAAAATGACTACAGGAATTTATCTATATGAGACAGAATTAAGTTGCAATAAAAGAAACATTTCTGTTAGTGACAGTACCATATGAAGCTCATTTGAGTAAAGAAAATTTTAATCTCAAACAGTATAATTTAGAAGAGCACCTACCCCTTCTTTCCTGATTTGTACAATTTAATAACAAATAAACTGGACACTTCTATTTATTTATAACTTCTATTAACATCTGTATTTCAGCTTTCCTGTTCATAATTCTTTAGAATTAATCATTCACATGATTTCCTCATTTAGTTAGCTTAGTAAAATTGTAAATAACCCACCTGACAAATTCTCACTGTTTCGTTTTAACCCTTATTTCTATGCAGAGCTGACTCCTGTTGGAAGTGTATTTGTAAATGTCCCCAAGGAGCAAGACTGGCCAAATACTAATATGTAACTGCACATCACCTTATTTTATTTCAGTCTTGCTTCTTTTAAGAGATAAACTATCTAGAATTAAAATATTAAGGATGGTACTTGGATAGATTGTGGAGGAACACTGCAGTCCTAAAACTTACTCTGTATGGTTTACAACTTACTAGATCCTCTGTTGTTTTCAATGGCTTAGTCTCAGGAAGTTGCTTCTTTGATATTCTCCAAACATACTGAGAAGTAACCCTCAGTAGGAGCTCCTGAAGTATTTTTTTCTGAGAGGACACTACAAGAAGAGCTTCCCAGAAATCCACCAGCAGCTGGGGAATAGTGTTTTCACTGCTATTACACAGCATCTAAGAACAAAAATGATAGAAGACAGCAAGTTAGACTATGGTGATTATTAGTAGCAAAAGTTAGAAAAAACAGGAGGAACAGTTTTTCAATTTTACTAGAAGCAGAATTTTGATTTCATTTTTGTCCTGTGATTCTATGTAATACACTGCTATGCAAAGTAAAAAGTTCATTAGATGATTTTAAGGTAATCAATTCTGACCAACAGATGTGACTTCTTCTGCAGGATTAACTCTACTGCCAGAAATGTCAGTACAACTGTCAGCAAGTATTTACAGACTGCTAATGAGGAGCATTTTTACATATGTCGATAGACAAGTAAGTGTCTTGAAAAGAAGTCTCTATAGTCCATTATAACAACTGCTGTGTAGTTCAGCTGGGTATCATGGTAGAACCCACAAGGAAGATGATTTAGGACCCACTGTGCCAGCAAAAAGAGTTCTTACTTGGTTTCCAAATGGTTTTAAACAACAACACTTGTTCTAATTGGAACTTCATGACTTGCTCTTTTTGATATAGGTCTTTCACAGTAACAGATATACTTAAGACTGCAACACACGTACATTGAAGAACACATCTTTTAACCCAAGTGTTGCTATTCACATTTGTCTAGTCCCAGTTGAGAGAAAGAAAACTTCAGGGACACTAGAAAAGCTATTAGTATTTCTTATAAACTGCAGACACATACTATTCTTTCACTGTTTTATACAGATCATCAGAACATTACATATCTGTTACATATTTAAGTTGGATTCTTTAGAGGTATGTTTTAATTCTGAAGATTTCTTTAAAAGAAGAATATGGAATTAATTTATCTAAATTCTGTAACATTTCCATGGCCTTAGAAAGCTCAATTACTAGGAAGCCACCGAAAGGGTTCTGAGATGAGGGTATTTTCCATTCAAATGACAGGGTAAAAGCAAAGAACTTAATGGGTTGGTTTCTTGCTTTCTTTTTTTGCTTTACTTAACCAGTATTTCATTCCATAAGGTACGGTTTCTGACTCTGTAACCATCTATCATGACTAGAATATCTCCACCTGTCATCTCGCTCTTTCTGAAGAAATGCTGAAATGTGAGTGAAGGAGCAGCTGAGGCTGCTTCTCTTTCCCACAACAATGTCACCATGAAAAAAATAGAAGCAAACACATGATCACAGGTCAACCTTGAAAAAGGTATCTGCTTCTTCTAGTTCAATTTTACTGTTCTCATGTAAAGCCACAGTGGCAGCCACCAGCAAACCAGGCTGCATCTCCTTCAGGTGAACAGCAAACTCAGTTGGTGTAACAATTCCTTCCTTACGCTGCTGCAGGAGCCGTGGTTGCCCAATGAAGCCGCAAGCCAGTGTTGTCTACAAACATCAATAGATACAAATCAGGTAAAGAATTCAATATATAGATTATTCTACTCAGTAAATTCAGTATTTCCTCTGGCAGTGAAATTTAGATGGAAGCAGTCAGGGAAGAAAGCAAATCCTTTCTGCAATTCACAGAGTAGCTCTCCAGAGACAGAGATCCAAACTACATTCTGGAGCAGCGACTCCTGAAAAACAGGCCTTGTACCTGAACACTGAAAGTAATATTCAGTTGAAAGATGGAGTTAGTGAGCACATAAAATGGATTTCACTAAGTAATCCAAGATATTTGATATACAGGGTGGTTTGAAAAATCACTGGCTGACTTTTCAAGAGTCTACTTCGCAGAAGTGTGATTTTTATTTTGAAAATACCGCTGAAACAATGATCAAAATGTGCTTCACTTTGTGTAACAAGAAGCTAATTTGAGTTATGTGAGTGCTTATGAAGGTGAATATAACATATTATTCCCATTTTAAAGGCAGTGGCAAAATAATGCCTAAGTAAATTAAATTAAACAAGACATATAAGGCAGACCTAGAAGAAATATTAAGATTAGCTTTCTGAAAGTGTTTTTTCCTACTTTGAAATAAAATGCTTTTTTAAAGGTGAAGAGCAATAGAACATATTTAACAGATCAGATTAGAAAGAAAGAAAATCCAACCAAAAAGACTCAAGCCTAAGCCACCTTATTCTCAAAATAACATCCATGCAGTGTGTGTGCTCACAACATGGCAATTTCACTTGATCGTGCTGCAAAAGCAGGTGGTGCTGAATATAATTTTTGAAACAGCTCCCCACGGTTCCGACCCTGCAACTCAAAACCAGCTAACTTTAAAAACTCTGCAGGACTTTTTCCACCAAAGCATGATATCTAACTTTGAAACAGCTATACATTTATTTCAAAAGTGTTTAGACTCCCAATATTCCACTATAAGAAAAAGCCTCTACTACCTTTTAATATTCCACAGTCTTGATCAAACTCAACAAGAAGTAATTTACAGACTGGTCTCACACAATGTGAGTATCTGTGGCAGAGACAGCTCCACTAACATTTCTGCCCCCAGTGATGAGGAATTCTTACTTTCATAGCTCTGAAGTAGGTTCTGATCTGGTCTTAATAAGAGTTAAGTGCTTTGATTCCACATAAGATGTGAAACTGTATACAGAAACTTCAGTTTGTAAGCACAATGAACATATACTCTGTTCAAGAAAAATTTTATAATGGCTGTTTGTATACAGGTGTTTTGATGGGCATATCACATATTAATTTCAGGTGGAGAGGTGTAGAAATGCTTCTATACAATCCTCCCATGCAGCTGAAGAGCACTGGCAGAGTTGGTTACATCCCAGTAAAACAACATTTAATTGATCATAATAAAGAGCTTCAAAACTTGCTTATTTTGTAAGTTTTCGCCAAGACAAGACTACCCTACCTGTAGGGCAAACTGTACACTCCCAGTGTATGTCAGCCCTCCATTCTACTGTTACTGCAGACATTCAGTGGAGTCTACACAGCCTATCAGGAGAAAGAGGAGTGACTGGAAGCTTCTTTTACTGTAAAATGCAACTACAAGTCAAACTATTGCCCTGGACTTTGTAAAGCATGAACAGCTCATGCTCTTGGCATACTTTACCTCCTTATAGGAGTGCATTTCATGTTCATACATTGCCAGGTCTCCCATTTTCAGAGCAAAGAAAGCCTTAGTAAGTGTCAGGACCACTGATGGCATCATCTTTTCTATTTTCTGAAGATACTTCACAGCTGTCAAAGGACATATGTTTCTCATGCTGGGACTGCAAAGGATATCAGGAAGCTGCACAGGGTCCGCAAGATAGAGTATCTGGAGAACTTTATTTCCTGATTCCTATTGAAATAAAAGCCATTTGACAGTTCAGACCTTTTCAGATGTTCATTTTTCTATGGCATTTGAAAGTACTGCAGTTCTGTTGTTTTGTTTTTTGCGACAGGTTTGTTTGTTTTTTTTAAAAACAGACAAGTTCAGCTTAGCTATCAAATCACAGCACCTTTCCTGCCTCTCTCCTCCCTACTGGTAAAAGTAAAGGATTTCTAACTGGTAGTGATTCAACTCATATTCTGGCATGCTAGGAGAATATCTACCACCAAAATGAATTGTTTTTAGCAATTGGTACAATTTAGCAATGATCAAAGAAACAGGTTGTTTTGTTACAGAAATGGAAGATGACAGAAATTTGAGGCAGGGCTTTCCTAAAACAGAAGTATCTGTGTGCAAGTGGGAACCAGATCATAGCAACATGCATCATGATAGCCAAACATGTAAGGCATTGCTTGAATGCAGTCCAAAGCATCACAGGTACTGCTTGCTATTCAACAACAGTGGGAAAATAAAAATAATGTGAAAAAGAATAACTGTAAAACTAGAAAAGCAGCTCATCATTTTCAAAGGGAAGGTGATTGATATTTGATACACAATTCTTAAAATCAGAATTGCATTAGCAGAGTACAAATAAACCAACTTATTTCTACCTTACTTAATTCTTCATTTGAGTCTTCATTAAGAGAATGAGTTAAGTAAAATATAAATCCTCTCTCGTATGTCTGTATTTCATCACCTTCTGAAACTAGTCTCTTTAAAACTTCAGTCATGGATAAACCTGACATTCTGTAGTATGGCAAAGCAAGGTGGTAATCCTTTGTGTCAAACCTGAAGGAAATAGAGAGGAAGGAAAAAAATAACAAAACAACTAAGGGCAATGCTTTTGCCATCACTCTTTGTAAGAACTAAAAGTACATCAAACAAAGTCACAGGCACATCAGTTATCTGCACATATTGTTCATATTCAACATAATTCTGTTGAATTCAATATAATTCTGAATAATTCTGTTTAATGACAATAAAGACAACCAGAAGAGAAGACTAGATTAAGCTGGTTTTGTAAAACAGAAAGGTCTGTATGACATATGCAATCTTAATGTAAAATAGCAAAGAATTGTGGATTTTCATTTTAAGGTTACACCACTGGAAACACATGCCTATGCCACTTTGACATCTAAAACATACCTGCTGTAGCAGTCTCCTAAGAAGGCACAACTTTCTCTGAATGCTCTTAGAAGATCTTCCTTCTCATCTGATTTAAGGAAATGAGGGTCCATTATAGCTGCTCTGACCAGTAAGTGAGCCTCACTTAAAAGATGGATGCAGCTCTCAGTTTTAACATTTTCGTAAGTTCTACTATATTCTACCTAGAACAGACACAGCATATACTTAGGCTGCTGACAAAAGTAAGAATATACAGGAACAATTTTAATGAGGACAGCATCTGTCTGAAATAGGACTATGGGCTATTCACAAGAAATATATTACACCATATTCAGCAATGACATGCATCAGAGATTAACTAGCAGTACTTATTTTCAGTTAGCAAATAACAAAAGCAGGAGTTGAGCAATACCATTTCTCTGTAAAGCTGAATTGTTGAAACAGTGTTTATAATATATAAATTCCAACCCGGCTCTGACTCAGAATTTGTTCTGGATTTGATGCAGTCAGCCTTTCTGGAACTAGAGAAAAAAGTTGAGTTGTCAGTGTTGAAATAAACGCCATGCAACCAAAAAACCCCCACTCATTTTGTAATTCAAATGCATAAATAGGTATGTCTGCAGACCAGTAAGTGCTGGAGAGTTAAGCTGTGAATTTAAGTCATACTGGCTAGTAACAGAACAGGGATAGGCATGTTCACACATAAGAGTCATCATCAGAACTGTCCACTACCTCTTCTCCTGTGCTTAACACCAGGGAGTATCAGGAATCATAGAATCATCAAATGGCTTGGCTTGGACCTTAAAGATCATCTAGTTCTAACCCTCCCATCACATGCATGGGATGCCACCCACTGAACAGGTCAGACTACCCAGAGCCTTATCCAACCACACCTTGAACAGTTAAGTAATTTAAATTAGCTGTTTAATCTCCTGTAAGGACTTAGTAGTGCATGGTTGCCCCTGCAGCTCTATCAAAGTGTTTGCCAACACATGGCATAAAGAGGTATCAGAATACTTTTATTCTAAAACTTTGGCTTGGTCTATAAAGCCCTAAGGTTAAAAAAACTGTAAGAAAACAGACTCTTTTTGTTCTGTTTTTAAATTTTATTTGAACTGTACAGACGAGAAGGTTTTTACATCCTATTTTCAAATGACTGTGCTACGTAGCTTAGTATTTGTCCATTACATTTTTTACAGAAGGCAAAAAGTGTATCTTCTTCAAATGTCAATTTGATAGAATATTTGAATATTTGAAACAATGCAACTGGCAGAAAATGTGCTTTATACAAGAAAACTAAAGTATTTGGAATAGTCATTTTTCCTGACAGGCTTCTCCTTATCTTCTTCTGAATAATGTCTGCTCTAGACTTTATGAAATATGGGTCAACTAACTCCTCAATCAACTAAAGCTGTCCCACTCTCGTTAATTACCTTAAACCAACTTTAAAAATGTGTTTTCTGAATAACTGCTTAGAATAGCTCCTTAGCTGTTTTATGAAAAGCCTTCAAAAATGGAAAGGGAATAGCAGTTTCCTTGGAAATTTGTAAAAAGTCAGATATACCTCTGGCTACACACATGCTACAACTGTAACTTGGGGCAAAGTCTGACCAACTTTTGTCATTGATAACTACAGTGATGTTCACAACTTTCTTGGCAAGAACCCTTAGGCCAAGATAAGACATTTAATTTTGTGCTGTGACATATTTTGTGACCTGTAGCTATGGCACTACATATTTTTGGTACTCTACATTTTTTCTCAAGATAAATACTTTGTAAATTCTCATGATAAATTCTTACTAATGCTATTTTAACATTTTGTTGATTTCAGGCATTTGTGACTTTATGCTCATTTCTTCTATGTCAGTAAATACAACAGAATTGAAAAAAATAAAAGCTTGATTGCTCTTCTCAGTCACTTAGAAGGTAACTATTTCTCAAGAGTTTTTCAACAGAAGAGCCTCTCTTAAATTGCAATATCCACAAGTTCAACACTGTACACAGAGCTGTAAGTACCAGCTCCCTAAAAGACACAAATCCTTACAGCATCCTTCTTGTAGGCTTTCTTCTTTCAGTAATATCTTCTGTGTCTGCCTTAGTCAAAAGAATTATATGGTTTTTGAAATGACAGATAGCTCTTGGTCCTATAAAAAGTTGCATTCTTAATGTACAGACATCCAGTGTGACAGGTGGACAAGCCTATAAAGGAAAGTGACTGTTTTGTAATTCCACTTGGTATGCACATTGAGTTTTTAAATAAATCAGAAAAAAAAAAAAGTAACCTTTGTACAATGATCTGACATTAAAAGCATCCACTGGCTTTCCTAACTTTGAGTGCATCATATAAGCAAGAATAAAAATACTCAAATACTCATAAAGGCCTGACAAGAATTATTTAATGAGTGGAAAAAAAAAAAAATTTCACTCTTCAAAGCAACTGCACAGTTTCAGCTATGTTTCTCAAAATAATTGAACCTGAAATAGATGCCTAACACAGAAAACTTTATCCTGATTAGTTTGATTTTGGCCGCTGATTATAAAAGTCTTGATTTGAGTTGCTTATAAAAAGCAAGTACAGATAGAAGTATTATATTTGTTTGCCTATTGTTACCTTACATAGCCAGTATTATTTTCCCAATTTGTTCTATATGCACTTTTCACGTAAAACATATGCTATCATCTATACTGGACTTAAAATTGAAAAATGCAGCCTCATTTGCACAGAAATATTCTAAATTTACAGCTTTAAAAAGATAAAATAGTACACTTACAAATTAACATATACAGTGAAACAAAACAACACAGTGTTACATGAGTAACCTGCTTTTTGAAGAAACCTCAATTTCTTGTAAGAGGTGGAGGCCTACAGTGGTGGTCTGGAGGCTCCAGACTGCCCTGGGCTCATGAGACCCAGAATGAGGCAGCTCTAAACCTGGTTTAAAAAAACAGCAGGAAAAATAGTAATGGCAAATAATAAAAATAACCGCCATAACACTTCAAACTCCACACTGGGGCAGGGATACCCATGAGGGAACTGGCCCATGAAGGACTCACACCAGCACAGGGATGTCCCTGAAGGGACTGTAGCCCATGGATGGATCCATGCCAGAGTGGGTGGACACACTGTGGATGGCAAGCTGCAGCATGTAAATCTGTGTAGGACTGCAGCCTTCACACCTCTCCAAAACTCCTACAGACACAGGAGGCAGCCTGTTGACTGACTGGAGGAGCTATGATGGATGTCAATATAACGCACAGTAAAAATGTAGAAAGCTGAGACTAGAGAATGGACAGGAGAGATTGTGTCACGTGCTGGTATTACCTATCCAGAGCAGAGAATACATGTTTGGCTCTTGAAAAGTTTATAAAACTTTTAATGTCCTATGGTTTCTTTATATCTGCTATCTACATGCTCAGAAGAAATCCTTAAATGCTACCTTAGAATATACCTCCGTCTATCTTTCCTACTACTTTTATTCATGTATATCACAATTTTTACATTCAATAGATTTTTACTGATAAGCAATTTAAGGAAGGGGAAAAGTTAAGACCTCCAAGGATCAAAAGCCCTCCTTCTAAAAAACATGCCCTAAGTATCTGGTAGCAGACTTGTTTGATTGCCTACATGCCTCTTAGAAAAACTGTTTTTTCAAGGACACCTAAGAGAGAGAAACATCATACAATAAAAGAAAACTCTGCACCCTTTGTTCAATTTTATACAGAAAAGCCTGGAATTTAGTTTTAAAAATACGTGATTTTATTGCTTTTCATGTTTTTGAAAACATTCTATAATGGTCTAAAATTTTACACGGCAACAACAGATTTTGAGACATCTGTAGACCACCAAAATACAACATGCCATTCATTTTGGATGTTATTTTATTGGTTCAGCCACCAGAAACGAACAGGATTTTAAACCTTAGGTCAACTAAGTGCCATACCACTACTCCCATTCTATTAGTGAGGTAATGAGAGGTGTACCTTCACAGTCGTGTCAATATATGGATCCTCACTACGAGCTGCTGCTGCACTGCATCGCACTGTGAAGCACTGCAGGTTCTGACTAGAGGAAAAGAGGAAAACACAACAATGAAGAAAAGAAATTAAGATTTGCAAAAGTCATGTAGCCAAGACTACAGTTAATCAGCTCTTTTTCCTTTGAAGAAATGGGCTTAAAAGCCCAAGCAGGAGGGTATGTTGAATACATGAGCCTGCCCAGAGATTTCCAGGAGGCTACGAAGGACGCATCAGAGGGGAAAAAAATTTTGAAAGGACAGCAGCACAGAGAAACATAGTAATACTATCAGTAAAACCATAAGCATAGTACCTTGTAATGACGTGTAGGAACTGTGGAGTGAGGACTGCCTGCTCTGACTTTTCTGAATATTGGTAGGTAGAAATTAGTTCTACTAATTTCCCAAGAGAGTAGAGATATCCAACATGAGGTAAAGAGAAAAAGCAGAAGAGACTCAGAAGTTTTCTCTTGCTCTCAGTTTCCTCATAGGCTGTTGCAGGAATTCCTAAAGATAACAATAAGAAAGGCATTTTATGTGCTTCATAAATAAAAACCCAGCAATTCCATTCCAAGCCTGATGCCTAAAGGACAGAATCAAACCTGCCCAAGTTGCAGACTAGTTTTCTTAGTAGCTAGTAAAAAGAAGTTTTTTAAGAAGTTTTTTAAGAAGTTTTTTAAGAAGTTTTTTAAAAATGAAGCTCAGTGCATATGTCAAAAAATTGTACGGCATGTAACCTCATTTGGAAGCATTTTCACAAAAATATGAATGTAGCACCTAGAGAAGAAATTCTGTAGATGTAACAGCATTAGAGAGTCCTAAATTCACCAGAACTAAGCATCCATGGACTGAAAGCTTGATCTTAGACAATTGCTTTTGAGTTGGAATGAATGCTCATCCAGAGCTGCAGCTTACAAAAAAGTAGGTATTACTTAAGGGAACAAAAGGCTGGAAATCGCAGAATTTATAGGATGCCACTTTAGCAGGTAACAGCTGCGATCATATTCTAGAGACCCTCTTAACAAAGCCTGTAAATCACACAAGAGCATAAGACAGCTGGAGTTAAATGGCAAGTAGCTTATTCTTTTCAGTCAGCTGCAAGTTAAATGAGGCATTGCTACTTAGCAGACAGTAAACCATCTCAAACTGAGTGAGGAGTTAGTAAAAGTCAAGGGCCAACCGTATCCTGGGATGCATCAGGCACAGCATTGCTGGGGGGGCAGGGATGGGATTGTCCTGCTCTGCCCTGCACTGGGGCAGCATTAGCTTCAGTCCAGGGGGCAGTTTGGGGCACTATAATACAAGAAGGATATAAACCTATTAGACAAGAGACTAAGGGAGGGCTAAAAGGACGGTGAAGAGTCTGGAAGGGAGGCCATAGGAGGAGTGGCTGACACTTGGTTTGTTCAGCCTGGAGGAGACAGAGGAGAGATCTAAGAGCATTCTACATGCAGTTCCTGAGGGAATGAAGCTATGTCGGGGGGGTTTAGGTTGGCCATTAGGAAAAGGCTCTTCTCCCAGAAGGTTGTCAGGCACTGAAGCAGGCTCCCCAGGGCAGTGGTCACGGCCCAAGCCTGCCAGAGGCTCAAGGAGCATTTGGAAAATGTTCTCAGGCACTTGGTGGGATTCTTAGGGTTCTCCTGCACAGGCCCAGGAGTTGGATTCGATGATCCTTGTGAGTCCCTTCCAACTCAGGACATTCTATGATTCTACAAAATCTGAATGCTAACATACAGCATTAAGTTCTTCCATGGATCTTTTGGGGCTTGAGCTAGTGAACCCCTAAAATCTGCATTCATCCCTTCCAATTTTAATTAAGGCCCTTCAGAAAGGTAACCAGTATCTTAGTGATTATTAATGTTTACTACTCTGATTTCCTCAGCTGGCTGAGTGCAGTGTAGTATCTTGTAGTAAATACAAAGGAGAATTTTATTAATGCAATGTAAAGAGTAACTGGTTTGCAACACAAAATTTATTGGTAAAGAACCAATAAAAGCTGATTTAGTCACACAGCGCGTTGAATTGGTATTTTAGTTCAAGTTTTATGTAGAACTTGGGGGAATTAAAATATTTTTTTGTTAACAGAAGCTCAGTTTAAATCATTGAAAAGGGAGAAAAGATCTCAATTTAAAAACAAATCATAGACAGTGTATGAAAGAGGATACACAATGAAGCTCTTTCCTTTCGCAAGCCTCCTGTGATACAGTCCATGGTGTATTCATGCATATCCATTTACCTGTCTGGTATACAGGAAGCAGTTGAACAGAGTGCAACTTCGTCTCTTCACAAAACCCAAAAGGTGACTGGCCAGGTGCAAAACGTCTAGGAAAACAGTCCAAAAAATCATGGGACTGCAGTGAAAAATTATGATTATATACTTTGGACAAGTAAACAGCACTGGATAAAAGAAGGAAAGCTCATGTTTTAACACTCAACAACAATGCACACTCCTACTACCAATGCCATTAATAGCAATGCAAAGAAGCACATGGTACAGTTAGATGGAACTCTATTAATAGAGTTCCTGCAACCTAAATCCTCTCTCTTTGGTTGTCTGCAAGATGCATGTCAAAGTTTGACATCACTGAAGAAATCCCACAACTGATTTTGACCTCAATTTAATCTTTTTTTTCATCTTTCTTTTTAGTCCACTGAGCTATATGGAAGACCATGCCATGTCCAACACTATTTTTTTCCTACTATGTGTCATCCTTTTCCCTGCTTTGCTTTGGAATTCACTGTTGGACCCTGGCATCAATTCTTCCTTAGCTTTTGACAGAAATTTTGGTGAAAAAGGAAGACTAAATCAGCTTCCTGAGGAGGGGACCTGGAGACACAGGTGGAAAACTGTTCTCCATGGGATCCTGGGAAAGGCTCAAAGGTGTGCCAGGGGAGGGTTACACTTGATGTGAGGAACCATTTTCTTACCAAGAATGGTGAAACACTGGACAGGCTTCCTAGAGAGATGGTTGATGCCTTAGACCTGTCACCGTTTAAGAGGCGTTTGGACTGTGCCCTTAACAATATAAACAATATACTTTAAGAGTGGCTCCCCCCTGAAGTGGTCAGGCAATTGCACTAGATGATTGCTGCAGATCCCTTCTGACTGAAATATTCCATACTAAAAAATGGACTCTCCTTGGTATCCCATGATTTCCTCAGTTCAAAAGAAACACCAAACCTTACAAAAACCCCAGAAGTCAAAACATCAGGGGTTTCCTTTCAAAAAGACAAAACACATAATGCAGTTTGCTTTTTTGTAGTAAATTAACCCATAAAAGGGAAAATATATCTGTAATACCTGAAAAGCAGATACTGCACTTGGAAGTGCTTTGTGTCTTCTGTAGGTAACTCTGTAGATTCCAGTGTGACAGGTATCTCACATAGCTTACTTTCTTCCCCAAGCAGTTCCACTGGCTTCTGACATATGATGAACTCATCTAATTCAAGCTGTAAAGGATGTGTTGAAGGACTTTCATCTTTCACACCTGAGCAATGAAAATGCTATCTTAATTGTTCAAACCACTCCAACCACAGCAGTAAGAAAATAGTATGACAATATTGATTAAATACTCCAATTACAGCTACCCTGCTAGCATTGGCTTCCTCAAACCACAAGATTCTGAAAACAGCCATACTAGAAGATGGGAACAATTCCTATTTAAGCCTTAACAGTCTGAATACTTAAGAGTCAAGATTTCTGGGGAAAAAAACCCTAACAGGTAAACTGCTCACCAGAAGGTGAGTCAACGGCAACTGGTGCCACAAATGACTGGTCATCAAAAAATGCTCACTTTTGGCTGAAGAGATTTTGAGAAGGCAAATGCAGCTATCACAGGAAGCTGTGTTATCTTTTGCTCACTTAAGCCCTGGAAAGCAAATCCTAGTAACACTCAGAAAGTAACTAGAACTTTTCTATGTGGTTTTTAGTAATTAAAAAAAACAACAGGGGGAGGAAGGACACCATTATCTGAGAAAAGACCCATCTTCACTCAGTGAAGAACATTGCATTTATATTGTCCCTATCTGAAAAGTCTTATTTACCTATAAATGTTTTCTAGGTACAGTTTCCATTTCTAAATGACCCTCCTTTTAAGTTTCTCCAATTATAAAGAAAGGACCTTCCTAAGGTTTGTTGGTGTTGATCGGATACATATATGTTTGGAAAAGTGGGAATTGATAGTTGATTACATATGGATCAATATCCTGCAATATACAGGAATGAGACTTCCTGAGTACCTCTGTTTCTGGGATTTCTATAATTCTAAGACAAGCTCCTGAATAAGATAAGGGACTGAAAAAGGAGAATTTGCTTGATTATGGCAGGTTCTGATCCTAACAGTTAAAAAAGTATACAGATATCACAACAGAAACATTCTTCATTGTGTAAGCCAGTTACTTAGGCAGTGACACTGATAGAATAATTTTTCTGAACACAGCGCACTGAACTATTACTACTTTAACTTGGCCCATTGTGGCATCCTAAAACAGGGACCTAATTCTGCATCTGCAGAGGCTGTACTATCTTCTAAAGGTGGAGAATAATAGCATATTTGTCTGAAATGTTACCTCCAACTACAGGTTGCTACAACTTTTCATGCTCTAGAATATTCAGCTGATAGTCAGTGATAGGACAATCTGGAAATATTTTCTGAAGGGCAAAGACCTTGTTTGAGACAATTTCAGAACAACGGGAATGAATTAGCAGATTCTTGGAGATTAAAAAAATTTAAAAATTTATTTCAGCACCTACCTCCATCCACAGCCTTCTCTGGTGCACTGACTCCCTGAGCATACTGCTCTGTCCTGTCTGCACTTTGCTGGACCAGTTCCAGTTTCAGGATTAGAACATCCAGCTCTGTTGTTATGGCTATATGTCTGGCACAAAATGCAACTTCAGCAGGAATGAGGTTATCAATGTGCAAAATTAAGGAGCGTTCAAAATCTAACACAGTCAAATTCTGGTTTATGACACGGTATTTCAAACAGAATATGACAAGTTTATTCTTGCAGCCCACAAGTAGATCTCCATTCACAGGACAACATGAAATGCACAGTGGAGGATCTGAAAGTGGCATTTCAACAACTGACATTTGTTCTTTTAAGGCTTCACTGTATGACTCTTCCATCTTGTGACCAACCATCCGGACACACACACGAGAACTCCCTGCAGACATGCATCTCCAGTTCATATATGCTCTTAGGAAAGTTGCTCTGCTTTTTTCTTCAATTGTCACTAGATAGTCTCCTTAAAAGAAAGCAGTCATACTGATAATCATTTAAAAATAGATTACAGTTTCTGAGCTCGTTATCTGCTGTAGTATGCTACAAAAAACATCTTCAAGTCTCAACTCTTACAAAAAATTCCAGAAACAGTTTTCACCAGTTTTCCTCTAACTGAATACAAAGCGCAGGTTTCTTTGCTAGGGGGCACACACTTCACACATTACTAAAAGCAAAGACTTACAGATGTAGGTTCAGAGTAACTCCTGTGTGAATCCTCTGTGTAAGTTGTGATTGCACACAAGGTTCCCCCCACCTCCCCGCCTTCTGATATCCACTAATGAGGAAATATTTTGTTCTCTACAGACCATGGAAAGCAATGGACCAATAGATTCATGAAAAGTTGTGGAATGGGCTGGAACGACCACCCCACTCCGTGCTCTAAAAACAAAATACAAGAAAAAAACCCGAAACAAACAACAACAACAACAAAAAACCAAATAAACAACCCCCCCGCCAAAAAAAAATCAAGTATTCCCCCCCGGCAAAAAAAAAAAAAGAAAAAAAAAAAAGAAAAAAAAAAAGAAAAAAGCAAGCAGGGGCAGGTGCACAGACCGCAACCGAGGCGGAGGCAGACGATGAAGGGAGGTGCGGATCCCACCCTCCCTGCAGGCCCGAGCGCTGCCGGCGCTGGGACCGGCCTGCGCTTCCCTGCCCGGCCCGCAGGCCAGCCCGCTCCAGCAGGTGCGCCCCACCTCCGGCTCGGAAGTACCCTGAGAAAGAGCCTGAGGGAGACGCGGGTGGGAGGGCCAGGCACTATTTCCGCGGCAGAGCCCGAGCGGCTATGTTCGCCGCCCGCCTCCCGCAGCCCCCGGCCCCGCTGGCCCTCCATCCCCACCCGGCGGAGCCCCAGGGCCGCTCCACGCACTCAGACCTCACGCGTGCCGGTCTCCCTGGCCGAGCACTCACGGACCCAGCGATGGCCGGGACTGACCTGCCGAGCTGTGCGCCATGCGCAGCACCGGACCCAGTGTGGCGAAGGAGCCCAGGGCCTCGCAGCGGCCCTGTTCGCGCACGGTGAACACGTCCACCCTGCAGCTGGCCGCCGTGCTGGCCACGAACAGCACGTCTTGGCCGCAGCAGAAGTGCGCCGGTTCTTGCTTGCAAGGCACTACTCGCTGCGACCCGAACGGGTGAAGATTGTAAAGCTGCACCATGGTCCCGAAAAGTTCCGGCGCGGCAGCGGAGAGGGCACCCGCAGCCTGCCGGGGCGGCGCCCAGCACTTCCGCGGTGGGCGCACCCACCCGCCTCCGCGCGGCGCTGTGCGGGGCGGGCTCGGGCGGCGGTGTGGCTGCCTCGGCACAGGTACTCTCGTACGAGGTTCCGTATGGCCTTGGCGTGACTCAGCTGCTGGGTGAGCACCCCCGGGAATCCTCCGTCATGGCAGAGCAGCGCCTTACACTGGTGGAGCTGTCGAGTGGAAAGAGAAACTGAGTGATCCATGAGGAGCGTGAGACGGAGGACTGGGAACGGTGGCTCATGAATGGAAGACCTTGCTGACGGGTGTTTGGTCGATGGTTTGTGTGCAGAGCAGCTTTCACTTGGGCACGGCTTGGAGCTGCTACTGCCAGCAGGAGCGTACCTAATGCATTAGGCTACTGAAACCTGGGTTCTTCCAGTCTCCCAGCGTCAAAAGCAGGCTTTTTTCGTAAATACACCAATTCTTTCTTAATAGCCAACAAACCCCTCCCCAAACAAAAGCCTAGTTATTTCACAGAATATTTCCACAAGGATCACTCTTAGCTAAATGGTCTACACGAGGACTGAAACCACAACCTTGGTGTTGTTAGCACCATGCCGTAACCGGCTGGGTCAGCACTTTTTGCAGCCAAATGTCCTATGATAGAGCTGCTTCCATATGTCTCTAAAGCTCTATTCATGTCACCATACTAGTAAAGAATATGAGATTTTTTTTTTTACTATGCTAATCTAGGAAGCTAAAAATTACTATGTACTTTTAAAGCAGGTAAGATCCACTACCAAAACCTGCAATCTCAAATTGTCCTTCCTTCATGAATATGCACATTAATAGTGAAGAAGAAAAAAAAGCAGCAGTATAATCTTTGGAACTTTATTTGGAAGCACATTTGAAAACAAACAGGGTTCTGCGATTTTTTTTTTGTTTTGGTGAACAGATTTTTCCAGGCTTTAGTTTTCTCAATATTCGTCTCCTTCTTCAGCCTCTGCTTCTACTGAGTCTAGGCCAACTTCTTCATAATCCTTTTCAAGGGCAGCCAGGTCTTCCCGGGCTTCAGAAAATTCTCCTTCCTCCATCCCCTCCCCAACATACCAATGCACAAAGGCACGCTTAGTATACATGAGATCAAATTTGTGGTCGAGCCGAGCCCATGCTTCTGCAATAGCAGTTGTGTTACTCAGCATACACACAGCCCGCTGCACCTTGGCAAGATCAGCACCTGGCACCACAGTTGGAGGCTGGTAGTTAATGCCCACCTTCAAGAAAACAAATGAGAACTTTCTTTAGAAATGCCAAGGCTTAAAGACTCATTTCTGTTAACAAAAATCACCATGATTACAAGTAAATAAAAAAGCTTAATTTTGTACTTTATCAAAATATTTAACAGGGACATTACAACATTGTAGCACAACTGACATCTCTGAAGACTACACAATTCTTAATCACTTAGTTATCATGTACTTAATAGGCTACATACCTTGAATCCAGTTGGACACCAGTCCACAAACTGAATGGTACGTTTAGTCTTGATAGTGGCAATGGCTGCATTGACATCTTTGGGCACAACATCGCCTCTGTATAACATGCAGCAGGCCATGTACTTGCCATGGCGAGGGTCACATTTGACCATCTGGTTGGCTGGTTCAAAGCAAGCATGGGTAATTTCAGCCACAGATAACTGCTCATGATACGCTTTTTCAGCGGAGATGATAGGGGCATATGTTACCAAGGGGAAATGGATTCGTGGGTATGGAACCAGGTTAGTTTGAAATTCTGTCAGATCTACATTGAGGGCTCCATCAAAACGTAGTGAAGCTGTGATGGATGAAACAATCTGCCCAATTAATCGGTTTAAATTGGTGTAAGTAGGACGGCCAATGTCCAGGTTACGACGACATATATCATAAATGGCTTCATTATCTACCATAAAGGCACAGTCTGAATGCTCTAATGTTGTGTGGGTAGTTAGAATTGAGTTGTAGGGTTCCACTACAGCAGTGGAAACTTGTGGTGCTGGATAAATTGCAAACTCCAGTTTAGATTTCTTGCCATAGTCAACAGATAGCCTTTCCATGAGCAGTGATGCAAACCCTGAACCAGTGCCTCCACCAAAACTATGAAAGATAAGGAAGCCTTGCAGCCCTGTGCAGAGGTCAGCCTATAACGAGGTGGAAAAAAATGGGAGAAAAAAAGTTATTGATGGTTTTGGAGAAATCAATATTAAAATAATCATTCAAAAGCATTTCTGTCATAAGTTTGCTGGTTTTACATTGTTATTATTTAAAAAACAGTGTTCTTGAAAGGTTCTGGTTTAACTGATTGAGTTTTTATTTTAAAGGCGGATGGGGCACACCAGGCAATAAAAGGTTTATTTTGTTTTGAAAAATTAACTATGCACAAAATTGTTAACAAAAAACCAGCAAACCATCAATATAGCTTTCTCTAGAACTGTATCAATTACTTTAAATACTAATTTGCAGCATGAATCCTTACCAGTTTGCGAATGCGGTCTAGCACTAAATCAACAATCTCTTTTCCAATGGTATAATGGCCTCTGGCATAATTATTGGCTGCATCTTCTTTCCCAGTAATGAGTTGCTCAGGATGGAATAACTGCCTATACGTGCCTGTACGTACTTCATCTACAAAAAAACCCAAAATACCACATCATAAATTTGATCTGTTCAGTTCTGTGTGTGCTGCCTAGTGACTACACACAAAGCACACGTGTCAAAAGAGTGTAGACAGCATTTCTGACTACACACAGCGTGTCTGACTAGCCTAAGAAATTGGCTCAACTTTTGCCCCTTTGTTTCAGGGTAAACATCAGGCATACACAAAGCAGTATTTGTACTCAAGGAACACAGAGATCACTCAGAAAACTACATTACAGGTACAGACACAATACTGGATAGCACTCAAGCAAAACTCTGTATGCAGTGCAGCAGTCTGGAAAGATGATCCAGATAAAAAAAAAGTTCACCAGATATTGTTACTGGTAGACGATTATTTAATTTCTTTCCAATAACAATAACCACAAATGTCAAAACAGCATCCAGACACACATTTTAAAATCTATAGTGTTCTAAACAAACAAAAAAAAAGACAGTAGGGAATCCATAAAGGATCCTCACTTTTTCACTTAAGATCTTTAATGTTGGGTACATACCAACTACGGTTGGTTCTAGGTCTACAAACACTGCTCTCGGAACATGTTTACCAGCTCCTGTCTCACTGAAGAAAGTGTTAAATGAATCATCTCCACGTCCCATAGTATTATCACTAGGCACTTGACCATCAGGCTGGATCCCATGTTCAAGACAATACAATTCCCAACATGCATTGCCAATCTGAACACCAGCCTGGCCAACGTGGATGGATATGCATTCACGCTGCAAAGTAAAAAGAGAATGATAATGAGACACGGAGCTACTTGCCCGTGGGTTGTACCTTCCATGATCTTTCTCTGCTGAATATTCCCTGGCTGCCCTTAAGTCACAATTTAAGAGAACAAGTTGTTGGCTGCTGGCAAGGCACTACTCACTGTTGCTGACCTGCACTGACTTTGTGAATATTGGAAGATCCTAAAGACAACATAGTCCCTATGAAAGCATGGGTGAATACAAATTCATTATCCCTTACAATGGGATATATATATATAAAATGCAGATATATTCCAACTTTAATATTCAGCCTAGTCTCTTTTTACTCTTCTTTTAGTTTTTGGAAGACCTCTTTATATAATATCCTCCCAATCTCCTTGACTCGTTACCACACCACATACTGGGTACCTGTTGCAAGAATCTTTCCTGCACAGGACCATTCAGTACATTTTCCTTTATAATAAGCATACCAGTATCTAGGTCTTAGCAATTAGTACATCTTTTTTTCACACATATTCCTACGTGAAATCGTCTTAAGAGTCCCAATCAAATATAATCTGCCCCCTTTAAGCTAGCTCCTTTGATTCTAAGCAACTGTGCCATGTATGTTTAATCTCCCAATACTTCAACTGCCTTACACCTGAGATGGAAAAAAGCAGAGGCGGAAAAGAAAAAGCAAGGTGTCTGGGTGCTCTTTCCCGTTTCTTTGGTAGCTTCATCAAATTCCAGCCTCCGCTCCAGTCCCGCAGATCCGCTACGAGACTCGCGGCGCCCACCGGACCCCTCACCGCCGCCGGCCACTCCCCCTCCTCTGATTGGCTAGCCCCAGCGACTGGCCCACGGCACGCGCCGCTCGGCCCGCCCCTGACATCCGACGACCACACCCCCTCCTCTGATTGGCTATGCCCAGGGAGCGGCTCACGGCGCGCGCCGTCCGGCCCGGCCCTCACCGCCGCCGTCCCTCGAGCACGCGCCGTGCCCTCTACGGCTTCACGCGCCAGGGCGGCACAAAACTGGCATATAGATCCGGCCGGCGGCACCATGCCCTGTCCCGCTATCTCCCCGCCGCCTGGACAGAGCTTTCAGTTCGTCCCTCGCCTTTTCGCGCGGGAGGTACCTGCTCCGAACAGAGCTCCTTTGCACGTATCTCGTCTTGCTAGCTATCGGTCGGTTTCTATGCCTCGCCTCCCCTAAAGTTAATAAGGTTTCATACTAATTTCTCACCTTCTCCCCAACCCTTCTGCCTTAGAATTACCACGGGGACTTCAAGCAGAGACTGCTTTCGAGTCCCGCCGCAGCACGTGCAGTCATGAACTCCCCTGAAGTGCCGCAACAGAAGCGGTCCCAAACGCCCTTTCTCCCCCCGCAGCCAGAAGGATCCCGTCTCCCAAACGCCCTTTCTCCCCCCACAGCCGCAAGGATCCCGTCTCCCACCATGGTGCCTCGTTAAGGTGACGAACTCCGACTGCGCCACAATACGTCCGCCGCCGCGACCGACCAGCACCAACTGCCGACCGTTAACCGCCTCGAACCCCTCGCCTCAGGTGCTGGCTCCCCATTGGCCAGTACCCGCGCGGACGGGGCGCGAGGGAAGGCCTCTGATTGGCCGAGGGTGCTCTTCTGCCGCCGAGAGCGAAGACTGCCACGAGGCAGGGCCGCATCCGGGGGCGGGGCTTGAGCGGCCCGGGGCGGGGCGCGCGCGGCCCGTTCTCTGCAGGCGGGAAAGGGCCGCGGGGTGCCGGGGTTCGCGGCCGAGGCCTGCAGGAAAGGTGGGGCGGTATCACAGTGCTGTGCTGTTTTCATGTGTCAGCTTGGTCCGTACTGGTGTGGTGATAGACAAGTACTACTTCCTGTGGTCTGTCCTGATAGTAAAAGCATACAGATCTGCTTTCCCAAGGGAGATTTATTTGATAGAAATACAAAACTGAGGTGGTACTGTAATTACAGTGCCATTCTATGAGTAGTGAGCACACTTTCCATTCCCTGCTTTTGACTAGGCAGATTCACTTTGACACTTCTGGAGATTGTGTCATTAACTCCTTAAACCAACCAGGGAAGAGGGAGGAGACAGGTGCCTTTTTGCTTATATGCTCAGAATGAAATATTAGTAAGGATATCAAATGAAGTGCCAAATAAAAAGATTTCTTGCTCTTGAAATATAAGAGTACTAGGGTATTCCAAAGAAATAGGTCAAAATATAACATCTTTGCCTCTTTGAATATTATGTGTTATTTGCAGTTTTTGTAAGACAACAAGGAGGACACACTTGTTGATTTTCAGGATCCGGAAGACCAATGAGATATGGTCAGAACCTTTTTTAGAAGGTTGTTGTTTATTTTCCTAAAGAATACAGGATGGAAAAAATATTTGAAAATTGTTCAATAATTATTTAGAGCTTAATTATTAACCAAGTATGGCTTGAATTTCTTTACTTAAAATTTAAAGCAATCTTAACGATAAATAATGTCACGTCCATAGTATAATTGCTACTTGAACAGCTGCCACAGGAAAATTGCTTATTCCTCTTAGGCATTGTGTTGCATACATACTTATCACTGCACATACTTTAAGTTCTAAGTACCGCTTTTCCAAGTAGGATTACTCTTAATATATTTTGAAATGTTAGGCCAGAATTTTCTGTAGTATGGGACAGCTTGCGTTTTTATGCACTGTAGCCTATATCCTCACTGTGTTTCAAGTGTTCTGATTGCATTTTGATCAATGGAACTGTTTTGAAGTATGAGAGATCAGAATGTTTCCTGCATGGAAATCTCTGGGTTTAAGTATGTTTCTGTATTTGCAAATGATAAAACTCCTAAAGAATTGTGTGAGACATTAGTGAGTAAAATTAAGTTGGTTCTGAGGTCTGGTTCAGATGAAGAATGCACAGTTTGCTTGGAATCACTGACTCTTCCTGTGATAACACACTGTGCACATGTGTTTTGTAAAGCATGTATTTTTGAAGTCCTCAGAAATGAAGAGGTTGGTTGTTCTATGGTTAAAAGTAATTCTAATAGCAATTCAAAAGCAATAAACTGCTATCACCAGAAGCTATTTTTCGTTTAAATTGTGAAGCGTGTAAACCTAGTTATCATCTGGCTTGTAAAAACTATTGGCCTGAAGTCAAACTATGGAAAGAGTAGCTGTCAAACTGAACAGTGGTAAGGTCTACCAGTATTTTCAAAAGCTTGTTCTGTAGTTCTTACCTTACTTTTTCCCTGGGGTAAAAGTGTGCAGCCATTGTATGCCTCCACATGGTTGGGTGCCTCTTCACTGCTTGTATGTGATGTGATGCAAATCATATATATTATTGCGCTTAAAAGAGACCAAAGCTGTGTATTGGAAGTTGGCTGTTGAATTAAAATCATGTCTACACTCCTTTTTCAAAGCTGATAAACTTGGACAATGAAATAGCTGTCTTGCTAAAGGGCCATCTTTAGTCACTTCTCAGGGCTTTCTCCAGGAAAAGCTTGTGAATGAGTATACTTGAATTGCTCTTTTGAAAACCATAGTATTTATTTTTCTTGTGTGCTTCTAAGACATACTTTTCCTTTTTATTTGCCCCTTCTAGGGAAATATAATGGCATGGTAGTCTCACCATCTGTATCTAGTTCTGCTGCATTTACTCTTGGGAGTTGCTCTGACTCCCGCTCAGAATAGAGCTGCAAATGTTAGCACAAACCTGGCTGGTGCTCTTTATTAGGAACAAGCAGGGAGGGACAGGTTGGTCCCTGCTTGTGCATAGTCAGTCAACCTAAGAAGACAGAGGTGGAAAGGGTGCTCTGTCTGGATTCTGGACTGACATTGTTCCATTGCCAGATACACAAAATTCTGATGCAGCTATCCCACCCTCTAGAGTTTCTGATAAATTTGAGGGAAACTAGTGAAGGAAAGAGCACTTGCAGAGGCCTTTTTCCAGTGCAAAGGCTCTTGATATGTTTGTAGGAGTCAGTGTCCCTACTGAACCTTCTGGTGATTTTAACGTGGAGAGAAATAAACTGGGTTATGATGTGATGGAATTATCATCATTATATACTACTTGACTGTAAAGTCAAGTTACTTACTATGTTTTGCCAAGAAAGGACCATGGAATCTCCAGAATTACCGCCTTTGTCCAGTCCTGTGTTGGTCTATAGATTGCTTTCACAGTAGTGAACTCTGAACAGAGGTGGGTATGGGTTCTGCTCTTTTGAACTATCATAAGTTTCTAAAACAGTGAGTGAATAAACTTTCTTACCTTCAAAATGATTCCTGATTGTCAAGGAAGTTTTTGCAGCTTTTAGCCAAAACACTGACATCTAAACATGCATCTATAAATTCCAAAGTTGACTCTGACATGCATCTAAATGCATCTAAATTCCAAAGTTGGGGAATTCACTGTTTCCACATGATAGGTATTTGTACTAATACTGCATTTGATCTGGGTATTTTCTGTGCCTGAATAGTTACAATGCAATTCTCTCATAGTAAATAACATGGGAAAGTACTTTAGGTATCACCTTGAAAACAAGGAGACCAATAAACTGCATACCCTCTCCCCAGAGCAGCTTGGGTTCAAGCAGGATTCTTCCAGGCAAGATGATGGTTTCCATTATTAATACAAATGAGATGTGAAGCTGCAAGCACAAAACTGCTGAGTGAAAAGTTTGGCATGTCACAGTGTTACAAACTTGGAAATAATTTTATCTTTCTAATGTTAACCTAAAAGCATTTACCAAAATTGGAAAAACTTCTTGGTATGTAACAGCTTGAGAGTTAATACTACCTTCATTTTAGTCTTCTGTTGAGACTAAATTTAGAGTTGTGCAAGTAAGTAAAAATCCTATGCAGAAGCCACAATAAAGCTGTAAGATCTCTGTAGTAATCTGTCTTTGTGTATCAACTGCATTCTTACAAAAGCTTACCAGATGTGCATTCAAACTTTTTTTTTTTTCTTCTGGCTGTTCATTGTAAGACTTTTTTGTCATTTTCACATGCTTTTACCATAAGTCTTCAGTATCTGTGTTGGCAATGTTCAGCTGACTTTTGTGTTTTGTTTATAATTACAGTACTAAAGTGGAGAAGGGATGCATAAAGATGTGAATTTTTTATTAAAAAAGAAAAATAAAAAGTCTATGATCACTGTTAGGAGGTTGTGGGTTTTTTTCCAGAAAATATTTTTCAGATTTAATAGAATTCATTTATTTTGGCTTGTCACTGGAGGATTTTGGGTTT